CGGGGCGCGGCGGCGGCGCTGTGGACGGCCGTGCCGGCGGCATGGGCGCTGTGGCGGCTGCGCTGGCCCGGCCTGTTGTGGAGCGGCGGGGCGTCGAGCGACAGGTGCGGGCGGACCTTGTGTCAGGCTGCAGGACCGTGCTCGTCTTGCGCCCGGTGCAGCAGGACGGGTCGATGGTGGCCAGTTTTGGCCGGCCTTTTGGGTCTCGGCGCTTGGGGCCGTCCAGGGGTGCAAAAGGCGGGGCCTTTCCGCTCATCTCTTTGGTTGGGGTAGCGCCGGGTCTTGAGTGTGGAGGTGTCAAGGTCTTGGATGCCGGGGGGGGCGGCTGGTGGTGGTAGCGCGGTGCTCTTGGGCAGAGCCCGTGGCTCGGTGCTGCCCGGTTGTAATATGGGCGGGCATGGCCATGGCCGTGTGGGCGGCATGGTAGCTGGGTTGTGGCATTCGGTGGCGGTGAATGTTGGCCAGGGTGAAAACCTGCTCTGTCTTCGGACAGACCGGCGGCGGCGAAGCTCGTTCCCTTCTTGAAGGCGTCGTCGCGGCTCTCATTGCCTGTTGTGTTGCTCCAAGGGAAACTATGATCCTCAGATCGGGCGGCGGCGGCGCTTCGGTGTCGTAACCTTCCTGAAGGCGCCGCCTGGGAGTCCATGGTTCGTCGTATGAGGCTTCATCTCTTCGCGGTGCTCTTGTAATGATAGGGGTGGTGTTGCTGCGCTCATTGCCTATGTATCCTGCCTTGGGTGTGTGCGTGTGTTGTGGTGGCGTGCGTTTGTACCGGTTTGTTCTGGATCATTGCTTTATATATAAAGCGGGGCGAAAGCCTTTTTCGGTAAAAGCCAAATTAGTACTTGGGGTGCCCATTTTTGGAGTTCCAATCTGTTCTGATTGATTATTGCACGTGGCGGATCAGAAACGTCGGACCTATATGTTAGAAGGGATAGAGAGGGATTGGTGAAATTGTTGTTATTCGTTGAGCCTCGTGGGCATATATATAGGAGTACATGATCGACTTGGAGTACAAGACAAGCCAGAATATTTCCTAGTCTATCCTATGTTTCCAATCTAATCACGATAGTCAACATCCCCCGCAGTCACAACGGTAGCGATGCAGACGGTGAGACTGGAGAAGAATCCGAAGGTAAGCCGACAGACCCCCCCCCCCCACACACACAG